CTTTATGCTCACCCTATGGGAGTCACGATTACATATCAGAAATTGGACAATCATTCATTGTACAAAATATAGCACATCAGAAAACAGATCTTATTTTATCACACAGAAAGTAAATACAGTTGAACATAACTTTACTAAGTTATTACTCACAGTTGGTCTTGAGACAGACAGACGGTGTAGATTGGTCAAACAGTACGCGGCACGTGACCTACATAACACATAACAGACACACTTGAAACACACGTTCTAATTGTACATAACTTACTTCGTTGGTTCTTAGCGTGTTTCTAACCTTTAATCCTCATTATGGAGCCTTAAACGTGGCCTAGGAATGCCTTTTCGTTTTCTTTAAGGAGATCAAGCCCACTGCGGTAGGAAGAATCCAAATACCGATGCAGCAGTCACAATACTATGACTTGTCCCCTCCAGGATACAACAGCCCGACCACTTGTCGTATGGTTCAGGCCAACTCTGCACAAGATGGTGAACCTAAAGCTCTACCAATAAAACACCCTTTTTTGCTAGTAATCTCTCTTGTATAGAAAATAGTTGATCTATATAGATAGAAAAGAGTAGACTATATACAGGCTATAAGGACCTTACAGTTACACAAAAAATAATGACCATTAAACAATAAAATAGTTACACCAAAATAATGACCATTAACCAAGTTCATGAATTCTATTTAACCTCCATTTATGACCAAGAGGTTACCAAAGTAATAAAACCTCATTTATGAAAAAGATAAACCAATAAATAAATATAAGATATTAAAATGGTCCAACACATTGTGAAATGGACATGAACCAGTCAGAGAACAAGTGCGGTAATTGTTTTTGCCATCCTATCTGAGGTAATAGCCTTGCATGGTTGAGTTCAACAAGTTAGATTTGTTTTACTAAATGATTTCTCTTATTTTTGACTTGTCTGCTCAGTATAATTTTGAAGGGAGATGTGATCTCATCAAGTTTGTGAAGCTAGTGGGATCCAGTGGACTTTATCTTCACCTTCGAATAGGTCCTTACGTCCGTGCCGTGTGGAATTTTGGGTCTCACCTTCTTTCTCATTCTAATTATACCAGTTCATTATTTTTTTCTTCTTAGATTTACATTTTAAACCATGAAATCCTTTTCATTTTCTTACAATTCAACAAATTGTTGTCTGACCAAGAAAGTTCAGCATCTTTAACTAATGATTGCAATAATTGTTAAGGTACTTAGAAGATGGTCTATCGCTATTATGTGTGTTATGTTGTGACAATAGTCTGGTTCGGATGTGAAAAAGCAATATACTCTGTTTAATGGTGCCAATTACTTGTGCCTCTTGACCTTAATTCTTTCTTTGTACAAATAAGTTGAGCCAAGCACCATACCAAGCCTCATCCCTGTAATTTAGGATTTGTATCACTTGGTTCTTCACTTTTTAATTGTGATATATTTGATCATATATTTTGAGTCTTATTCCAAATAATGGCAATTGAAGACACCATTGTTCCGTTTCAAACGTCAATTTGATAAAATATAAACTAGTTTAACAAAAACAAATGTCAAAATTATTTTTAAATTTTTAAAAATTATTTCTATCCACCAAAGATAAAATTATATAAAAATAATAAATCTTTTACATTTTTTATTTTTTTATTTTTTTTACCAAATTAATTTTTAGGATGTGTTTGGATGATGATCATGCAATGGGTGGTTAATTTTGTTGATACTTTTTATGATTATCATATAATAGATGGTTGTATTTGTTGTTAACAGATACATTTTGAATGATTATCATATAATGAATGGTTATTAGGTTTTTAATATGTAATCAATATGTTTAATATATGATATAACTTTAATTTTAGATTTTTTGATTTAATGATTGGTTTAATAGTAATATTAAAGTTGTCGGCATGTTTAACTTTTGAAAAAATTGAAACTAATTTAACGAAAATAAATATCAAAAAAAATATTTTAACCAAGAAAATTTCAACATTATTCGTTAAAAAAAAGGTCATTACATTTTAAATAACATACAAGTTAACTAACACAAAATAAGTTATATGACAACTTTGCCCTTGAAATGGATTGTTTGCACAAAAAAAAAAAATCTTTGATTATCTTTATTTGAAATAAGATTCAAAATTTAAGGTCAAATATATTACAATTAAAAAATCAAAAACCAAAGTGACACAAGTCTCAAATTATAGGGACTGATAGCATAATTCTTTTTTATTTCCGAAATGTTTGAAGGAAATATTGAAAATTTATAGAAATTTTAAAAGGAAAATTATAAATTGATAAAAAGATAAAGAGTCTTGGGTTATAAATTTAATCAAAAATGTTTTGAAGCTCTAATTTGTGAGTTCTAATAGCTCTAATGTGTTTGTGGGACTCATTTGATGTGATGTTTTGGCATTTTTTTTTTTTAACTTTTTTTTTTTTTTTTAGTTTCCACCGTGCGAGAGCTCAATTAGAGCTCTAGTTTTAAAGGGATGAGTCATTGTTGAAATTTAATTTTAATAAGGTATAATAGGGCTTACTCAGTTTTTAATTAAAAAACAAGAAGGCCAAATGTAAATTTATTATCACATTTTCATGGTCCATAATTTTATGGGTAATTAAAAGATTTGCTTAAAATATTCTGTGATTTTGAAAAGTACATTTCATCTCTTGAGATTTTTAATTTCATAACAAATCACTTATTTTATTTAATAAATTATCAAGTCAATTAATAATTTTTAATGATGTTAGAAATATTTTTTAATTAATAATTCATGTAATTTTATTATTATATAAGAGAACAGTTATGAATTTTATTTTTTTAATTAATTCTATTAAATTAAAAATTCTGACAATGAGATATTTATAATTTTTCAAATCACATGAGACAATTTATATTTTAAGCAAATCTCAAGGAATGTATTTGTAATTTACCCTAATTTTATCCAAACTTATATGAGGAAGAGAAACATTTTTAATGGAGCTTAATAAATTATCAAGTCAATTAATAGTTTTAATGATATTAGAAATATTTTTTAATTAATAATTGTCATGCCCCAACATTTTAATTAATCGGAAATATTACCAAAGTTTGTAATTTAGGTCCAGTTTTTTTTTTTTTTTTTAAAATATCTATTACCCTTGGGTGATAGAAACATAATAATACATGTTCTCTCTCTCATTGAAAACAACAATGTAATAATACATGCCAAGCTTCTGCTGCCAAGCTACAAATAAATAATTACAAATCACATGATACGTTTTTCCTTTCTTTAACATCTATGCTAAAATTATACATAAAAGGTACATGGAATCCATACTCTTCAATTAATGAATCCGAAATTCTCTTCCTGAAAAAGAATAAAACAACGAGGGGTAAGCACTAATGCCCAGTAGGAATCTCATAGTTCTACAACAATGGCTAGCTCATCGATAGAAATGATCATGCATGCAGAGTAATACCATATAGTAGGGTGACATTTTGTAAGTTCAAAATATTATACGAAAAGTATCTTTTCTTAAAATTTCACTTGAACATTTAAGAAAACTCCCTGCCATAATTGTAGTCTCTCATCATTAGGAAACCATAAATTCTTTTTGAAAACAAGTACACTTAAGGAAAAATATCATTTTAAATTTATTAACTCAATTCCAAATTATTCCTCATTTCGTTTCCATTTTAATATTCCACATTTCATGTCCATTTCCAATTACCATACTCCATGACATCAAAATCCAAAGGATTAGAGTTCAAACATAACACAAGAATCACAAACCCTTTTTAATTCAATTTCCCAATTACTTATAAAACAAAACTCATAATCTTCCCTTTTGTCACAAGCAATCTATTGAGTTCATCATTACTTGCCTCTAATCCAATTATCCACATGATGCAAATTTCAATCCTTAATTCATTTTCCTTCAGTTCATTTTCAGTTCATTTATTTTTCTCAATTCATGAGTCAATTTCATAATTTTACAACAACAAAACCGAGACTACAACTGAATTATTTTCATTTTATACAACATATATACATAAACACTTCAAACTTTCATTTCACGGATATTTCATCCACGGGAGACTGTCAAATGGGACTTATGTAAACGTAGGCTATACAAGCACTACAATTGCCATTTTACGAATATTTCGTCCGCAGGATCAGCACTCATGTATAAATTTCGGGACTTTCACCCAGGACACTCCGGCCAACTTAGTTATAATGGAGTCCATCCCCTTTCTCCTCCCAAACAAACATACATATACAATGTATTTAATCACATAATTACACATGGAGTACATCTTCTTTCTCCTCCCAAACAATGTCCATACATATGCAATGCACTTAAAAGATAATCAAATATGAAGCACATCCCCTTTTCACTTCCAAACAAACATACATATACAATGTATACAACCACGGTCATATTCAATGACAACCATCAAAGATTTAGTTTCAATTTACCTAATCCACATGCAATTTCTACAACAATCAAAGCTGTCATCCATTCGATAGCCCAATACAATTATCTCTAATCAGATATTCAATCTCAACATATAGTTTATTCAAAACTTTCAAAAGAATAAGTTAACACATAATCAATTCTACCATTCATATTAATACCCCCTCAATTTCACATTTCCAATGCCAATTCCAATTTTTGTATAAAATAGTAGTTTGACCCAATTAGGGCAAACACCCCCATTTTCCCCAAATATTACTCAAGTGACAAAATCATCAAATTAGACATAGTTCATTATCATTTTCATCATCATTTTCAAACCCTACAAACATCAATTTCATCTACACCCAAAACCCCTCTTTGTACTATATGCTTCAAACCCTAGGTTTGTTTAAAACATTTCCAAATCCCACCATTGTTACACGAAGGACAATAACTAAGCTAAATATCATATAAAAGTGTAGAAAGATCCCTACTATTAATAATTCATTTTAGTTTCATATAATAACATGATTTACAATTAATGTCCATAATAAAAGTTCAAGCACTAATTTTTACAAAATTTTCAAACACTTCCAAAATTCAATTAAACTTGTATACATATGTGACACCCCAAATTTTTGGAACATCAAGGGGAATTAAATAAACAAAATGACTTAATAAACTAAAAAGTTGACATCTTAATAGGGTAATCCAACTCTCGTACATAACCAAATGTCCAAATAACAATAGATAAAAACTTAAAATTTTCCAAATACAGCATCAAATGAAATTACAAAGTCCTTAATAGCTATTATATAAAATAATATAATTTATTCGGCTCTACTCGGGGTTTCAGGTCAGCCAAGGCTCTACGTTAGCGTCGACTCCATTTCAGCTTCAATTATTTTCTCGCCAAGACCTGGCATAAAACGCCAGGGCAACAAAAATATATGCCATGAGTTTTGCAACACAGTAAGAAAACATAACCAACCTACCATTCCTTTTAAGAGAAAAATTAATGAGATTATAAACATGAGATGACAATATAATTGTAAGCATAAATTACAACCATTAAAATAATTTCAATAATTTTAATAAATTAAGTGACACTCGAAATCTCACCAAAGAGATTTAACTTACCAACCACTAAGCATGGCAACGGTTAATTTGAAACCCTCCCTTGGTCAAATATTCAAGTGTTACCAACCGTAACTACCAGGGATGCCCACGTCCGGAGTGATATACCCAAGTAGTGGCATCCGTGGTCTGCCCCAAGGAAACGGTCTGCCAGGGGTAAGCAACCTCCCTGTGTGCCACCTGCACATCCACCCTTATTCCAAAACCGAATACCGAAAAGGGTTCAAATAAGTCCCGTGCCATCTTAGAGTTTCGCAACACAATTTACGTGAGAATTCTCAAAACCAGGGCTCACCCTGAACAACCGGTATTAACCGTCAATCCCTTGATTTCATACACTCTTTAAAATCAGAACTCACCCTGAACAACCGGTATTAACCGTCAATCCATTGATTTCATACACTCTTTAAAATCAGAACTCACCCTGAACAACCGGTATTAACCGTCAATCCATTGATTTCATACACTCTTTAAAATCAGAACTCACCCTGAACAACCGGTATTAACCGTCAATCCCTTGATTTCATACACTCTTTAAAATCAGAACTCACCCTGAACAACCGGTATTAACCGTCAATCCCTTGATTTCATACACTCTTTAAAATCAGAACTCACCCTGAACAACCGGTATTAACCGTCAATCCCTTGATTTCATACACTCTTTAAAAAATAAGTTGTAAATAATTCTGTAAAATTCCCAGAAATTTTTATGACACCGATTTATCACATTTTCTTAAATT